AGTTGCGCATTCAATTAACGCAGCTCGAATACACACGCTCACTTACGCACACTACCATACCGTTCGTAACTAGGCCGCAGCTTCTCATTTTGCGCCGAATTTCCCCACCGCCCCGTTTTCCCAGCGCGATTATCGAGACTCTTTGGATTCCGCTCTTTGGGTTTTAGCATTGTTTTTCGGGCGCCAAAACATTTTGGCATAGTAAATCCGAGGCATCCTTCCTCCCGAAAGCCCTCCGTTAAGTGTTTTCCACCCATTTTGTGTGTGTGCCGGCGAATACATAATTAAACGATTCACAGTTTTGGGCATTTAAATTAAATTATGGCTGTGAAGTGTTGAGCGGCAGACGGGGAAAGTGCCCAGCGAAACTCGAGAGCGTATCGAGCTCTGTTAATTGACAGATGCTAATTATTACCTAATTATTATTTATATGCGGCTGAAGTAGCTGTCTGTTTGTAAGGCTCGAACGATGGCTGAATACGAGGTCTTCCAGTCAATAATCAGGAGAGGATGAAGTGTACTTAAGACTTGAAAGATAGGCAACACGATATCCATAGAGTTTATAAATCTTATTCCAAACCCAGAACACATCTCATATACGAGTATCTCCTATTTTCGAATGGCCTTAATAATCTTTTGATCGAAGCCAGCTCCGTATTCAAATTCCGTTGCCGTTTAAGCCTCGAAGCGGAACTGCGGCACTTTCATAATTCGACAAAAGCCGCTCAGACAGGTTTTCCACGGGAAAATGCGGGGTGCTGCTGCAATTGTACGAACCGTTGGGCAAATGTTCAACGAGTTATAAAACCGAAACTCGAGGAAAACCCCCAAAGCGAACGAAAACTTTACTGCAGGGCCAAAATATGAAAAGTTTTCCTCAAACAGCCACGCCCCAAAAATCTGAATGTGTGTACATGCGGTGCATGTGTGTGTACGGGTGTGCGGGGGCGGAAAACTGCCTTTTTGTGATTAGCATAAAACTGCCAAAAGTCTGAGTCTGCCCTGGCTTTGGTTGGAATCTGAACTCTAGCACAGAAAGAAATAAGATATGAAGTTAATGAAAGTATATAGTTAGCTTAAAATACTTAAATTATTTTCGATTGATCTTCTTTTTCACTTAATTTGGTATCCGTGTAACCTTACGGAATCGAGGACTTATCTTTATTCTACAACAACAGAGCCCAGAAAGCTCTTGATAGCTTTTCTGCAAGTGCACTCGAAGCCAATAAACATTTATACTCTGCACTCTGTTACCAGAGACACCCACAGAGCCCAGCTCGGCTTCTAAATACCTCCAAAAATATTGGCAGTAGCAAGGGCAGTCCGTTCCCAACGAAAGCTGACCGGAAAGTCAGGCCGGGCTGCATCCACAATGTGCCCAATGGCCCGGACTTGGGACTTGGGACTCTGGACTCTGGTTTCTGGACTCCGGACTCTGGTCTCCTGACTACCGACTCCCTGCACCGAGCCTCCGCACTCGGATTTCGACTTGTTTGCATGTGTTGCGGACTTGCTGTGAGGCTTACCTTGCACATCCGCACTCACACACATAGGTGTGGTTTTTTTTTGGTGGAAATAGAGGAAAAGGGGGTGGCCCAGTCGTATTTGGCAAGCTAAACGAGTTTAGTTGGCCAAACATTATCATAACTTGGTCGTTTGCAAGCCGCAATGGTGTAATCGTTTCATTTTTAAAACGTTTTCGGCATTTTTACGGCACTTTCCCAAAATGGCTGCCTTTCCGTTCATTATTTTGATGTCCGGTTGGGCAGGCGAAAGTGAAGGGGAGTGGAATAGAGTGCGGTGGAGTGGGAGCCCCCAAAACTAAAACTGCCTATTTAAAATGCAATGTGTGGGCCGACAAGGCAACGCTGCATACCGCATAATAATAAACTTTCACTCTTGGCAGGTTTACTCAACTGTAGTCTGCTTTTTTCAGCTTTATTCGGCAGCAATTTAAGCGGCAAATGATTGCTCACCTCTTGGGGAGCACAAAAAAAATTGTGGCCAAGTGTCTGTGGGTGTTGAGGGTGGTCTTAACCCCTTTTCAAGGGGGGCCAATGCCGGCCGCAGGTGTCGGCATATAATTAATTTTATGCATAATCAAGCAAAGTGAAATAAAAACGCCTATTAATTATAGTTTTTGCTGCCAGCCCTAAATAACTTTATTCGTGTTCCGTGTAGCTGTGTGTATGTGTGTGTGTGTGTGAGAGGGGAAATTAATTCAATGCGCTTAAATTTCACGTCTATTAGTCTCCGGAGTCCTACGCCAGTTTCTAATTTCCATACTGGTGCTGCTGTTTTTGGCATTTCAGCCATCCAGCGCCACTCGCCGGGCAATTAATTTGGAATTTTAATACCCAAAGTCGCTGCTGCTGGCTAATTGTGGCCTGCAGAGTGACCCTGGCCTGGTGAAGCCTTCGCCTACACTGCAACGATAAAAAAAGGTCGACATGGATTAAAAATATATTATAAATTCTGCTCCATCTCTATTCCTCTTCAAATTGGGTGAAGTCTTAAAGAGGGAGTACCTTGACCGCTCTGACCGTTTTTTTCACAGTGCACATACCACTCCATATAGATCGATTCGAACTTTAAAGGGGCGGCTCAAATTCCAGCTCCATCCGGGGGAAATCCAAGGGTTAAGCGACCTTCGGTGGCTGAACATTAGGTGGTAGCCAGAGAAACACCTGCCCGAACGGAAGCGGAAACTGTCAAAGGCACAACAAACAAACGCAGCGATGAAAAACAGCGAGAGCGTGGGGGAGTGGCAGCAGGCAAAAAATAAAAGGAAGGAGAAAACAGAAAGAAAAACCATTAGACGACACAATTTACTAGGTCAGCAGCAAAGGATGGCAGGTGGCAGGGCAATAAAAACAAAAGTGCCAACTGGCATGAGCCAAGTGGAAAGGCAAGGAGAGTGGCAAGTGCCGCAAGGTGGGAGTCTCGAACTTGTGAGCAAACAGTTTAAAGTGCGACGGCGGTGGCAAGTAATAAGACAAAGTGGAAATTTAATCAACAATAAACCTGAAACTGTTAAATAGGCAAACAAGGGAAGCCGAGGCCGAGATGGTGGGCCCCGAAAATTGAGACAATGAAAAGCCCGTTATTTATGCGGTGGCTGGGCTAATTACGAAAATAAAACATGATTTATGGCCCAAATGAGCCGTGATGTGTGGGCGGGTGGGTGTAGCCCTGGGAAAAGCTAGATTGAGCGGAAGGAAAGCAAGGAAATGTACGGAAGAGCAAACAAAGGACCTTCATCCTCATACATGGCCTTCAAGCTGTGGGCTATTATTTGCGGATAATTGGTATGCGACTCGCTCGCCAAATGAGTTGACAACTTGCGAATGATAGTCCTGAGATGTACTGGGGCCAAGTCAATGGCTCGGAAACAAACTGCAGGCAAATCAATCAGGCAAACACCCACAAAGGAAAGCGAAAGGAAAAGAACTCGGGCCAAGCTCATCATTATGGCTCATTAGCAAAGCAATTTTAGCGGGTGTGTGTAGTAAAGTCCTTCGTCCTCATTCGCTTTTCCCATTTTCCCTTTGCGGCTTACTCGCATATTGAATGCTGCTAATTTGGCCATAAGCCGCTCAAGGCCCGGACCTCGTGCATAATGCCAAATCTCTTGCTGTGTCAACGTCGACAAAACTATGCCGCCTACTTAGCCATCCCCTTTATAAGACTTAGCGAGGCCTAAGCCAACTGCTTATTGCTCGCATGTACAAGCTTGTGAGCCCCAAAAAGAAAGCCAGGGAAAGTGCTGGAGTTGCGCAATACAGTTTGTCTGGGAACTAGTTCAGTCCGAAAATTGTCAATACAAATGGAATTGGATTACATCTGCATCTGAGGTTAAGTCAAGCCATCATAACATCTCTGTCAAACAAGTTTATCCTTTACCATTTTTAGGAAAGTTATTAGCCAGTCTGCCATTTGTTGATAATCATGTAGAACCTGGGCCTTAGTGCTGCCACTTTAAACCCCATTCAGCGGCAGGACAAGAAAGGGGTTGGGGATGGCGTAATGTGGATGCGGTTTCCAGGACCTCATGTGTCCATTATTCGGTGGAGAAGCCAAGGACTCCGACTCGCTTGCACTCTCACATGCCGGCTTATGGACAAACATTGCCGTCGAGGCTTGTTGATAGCCTTTATTGTCTGCAACTGCTGCGACTCTTAATGTCAACGATGCCGGGTTGTAAAAGGGGTTGTATCTCGGGAGGTGGATGAGGGAGTAGAAGTGGGAGGCCGGGCCTGTTCACGTTGGCAACCGCAGCAACAAATGTGCACAGGGAGCCCGAAAGAAGGGGCGGGATAAGCAAATGCAAAGGCAACAGAAACAGCAACAGCAACAGACTGCTGGCTCTCATTATGTGTAATGGCTGTAGCAACATCATCAACGGCCAGTAAACAACAACAAAGGCGGCACAACAACTGCTGTCAGGGAGTCCGAAATGACAACAATGCGCCAAAAAGGAGGAAGTCATGAATGCAATCTACCTGCACGTTGCCGCCCGATTCCGAAAGGAATGAAAAGCCAGAGGAAAAGCGGAGGAAAAGCTGCTGCCAGCAGTTACTTACTGCCGCTGGCAGCAGTAGCAACAAAAGCCGACGACGAATACCTGTAATGGGAAATATGATCCAGAGTTGCAAAACATGGCTGCGAAAGGATCTCGGATGATGTCAGAACTTTTGCTCGTCGTCGAGTTCGTTATATAAGGCATTCACTTTAAAGTGCTAGAAATTTTGTAACTTCCCAATTATTGAGGAGTAGGACGCTAATTCTTGAATATTTCTATCTTTTTTCCAATTATCTAGACCTACAGCTCTCTAACTCTAGTAATAACTAATGCTGATAGGTCATAGGCTTAAACATAATTTGAAATCTAACCGATAAGACCTCGAGTTCGACATAACACTTTATTTTAAGATAGTTCCTGTAATAGCTTACGGATAAAAGCAAACTAATCGATACCCTCCCCCCTTCTGCCATTCCAGCATGGACTTCACGTGTCTGATCTGCTGCAGCCTGGCCTTCGTCCTATATCTGAACACGCTGAATGCCGGTTTCGTCTACGACGACAGGTAAGAGTCATTATGCCCAGGGAATCGGGGTGGAAAGCGTTCGAGCTTCTAGGGAAATTTATTAAAGTTGCGATAGCACAGCCCGAATTGCGTTACATTACGAAAAATAAGAGGGAAAAGGAAAAGTGCTTGGTGGGGGAAAGTCGCCTGCGGCATGCCTTGATGCTGCAATGGAATTCCAGTGGTGCTTAAAATCGAATTTCAGCCCACATCCGCACACACACAGAACCGGCTGCTCCACCGACTTTATGCGGCATTAGAGTGGCATTTGTTTATGTGAACCGCCGGCGGTGGGCAGGTGGGACAGGCGGCTTTGGGGTGGCGCTGAGGCCACCTCATCGGCCTTTGCCATGATATACGAGCTGCTGGCACCGCCGTCGTCGTTGTCACGAACACTCGGCCCAAATCCTACAAAAGTCCGCCTGCCGTGCGTGCAGAGAGTGCACAGGTGGTAGAGCAGAAATACCGGAGTAGAAAGTGGGGGAGCAGGACTCCCGCCAAAGACCAAAATGCAAGTCCTAGTGCGAGGCAGTGTGTTTGTGTGGGAAAAGCCAACAGGATACCAGTCGATGATGTTGGCAATGTAGTGGAAGTCGTTCTCAGAATAGTAGCTGCGGCAATTCTAAAGCACAGAACGGAAAAAGGGCTAACAAACTTGAATAGAAAAGGCACCACTTTCTAAAATCTTAGTGAATTATTTAAATTTGTAGTCTTAGATCAACAACATTTCACGTGTTTAAACAATGCGCCGTATAACCTCTTTAAGAATTAGTAGAATAAATATCCTAGAATTGGACAGTTTTTTAAAGTGCATTTCGAGACGACGTGTGTGCGGATGCCGATGATGACATCAATGACAACATCGAGACTCAGCCAGTTTGGCTTTTACTCGGCTTGACTCCGGCACAAAATGTGCACAATAAATGCATGGGCAGTTGTGTGTGGGTGCCCTAATGGCTGGAGAAAAGTTCCGGGGCAAACAGCCTTCGCTGCAGCCTTCTTTAAGGAGACTTAAAGTGCCAGGAGTTTGAACGGAAAATTCAGAAAAGTCCATAAAATGAAGTTAAATCCACATTCCACATATTTGGGTTTTAAAGAGTTGGGAGTCGATCCACCAACTACGTTTCTTATTTTTCCATAATCTCCTTCCTCTTTGCAGACGAGCTATTCTGGCAAACTCGGATGTCTCGGGCGGAACTCCCTGGCAGCGGAGCTTCTCGAACGACTTCTGGGGAACTCCACTGACAGACAGCGGATCCCACGGCTCGTGGCGACCGCTGTGCGTGCTCAGCTTCCGGTTGAACTATCTCTTTGGCGGGGGCTTTGCGCCGTGGGGCTTCCACCTGGTCAACAATCTGCTCCATTGTGTGGCCACTGCTTTGGTGGTGCGAGTGGCTCGCAGCCTCTTGGCCTCGGTGTGGGCAGTCCTGGCCGCCGGCGCCCTCTTTGCCGCCCACCCGATTCACACGGAGGCGGTGGCCGGGGTTGTGGGCCGGGCGGACGTGGCTGCCTGCGTCTGCTACCTGCTCACGTACCTCAGTTACCTGCGACACATGAGGTGGCGTGAATCTGGGGATCCCCGCCAGTGGTTGGCCCTAGGCGCCACTTTGATCCTGGCCTTGGCCGGTCTACTCTGCAAGGAGACAGCTATTACGGCGCTCTTAGTCTGTGCCCTCTTCGACGTGATGCGCGGCTTGAGCGGACAGGTGGACAAGGTAAGTTATCTTTCTAATTTATGTAGTCTACTATATATTAGTTCTATAATTTAGATGATATTTATGCTTAATTAAAATGTTATATGGTTTGTTCTTCATTTTAACAGCAACGCCTTCGATCTGTGTGCATAGTTCTTGGAGCTCTGTTCTGCGGCGTCTACTGCCGCCTGGTGATTGTGCCCGGACCGCAGACAGCCTTCTCCAGTGCGGACAACCCCATCGCAAAGACTCCATCTGCCTGGACGAGGCTGCTGACCTTCCTCTACCTGCCCGTCTTCAATCTGCGCTTGATGCTCCAACCAAATGTGCTGAGTTTCGACTGGGGCATGGATGCCCTTCCCAGGGTCACATCTCTGTGGGATCGCCGCAATGCCCAGTCAGCCTGTTTCTACTCGGTGTTGGTGAGTGTGGCGTGGCGCAGCTGTCGCCAGCTGATAAGCGGGGCAAAGGAGGTTAGCCCCAGCGGGGTGTCTTCCTTTCCGCAGTACCACATCCAAAAGGTGGCCAGTCGCAAGTCACGCTCCAAGCGCAAGAGAATGGCCAACAATAGCAAGTACCAAGCCTTTGAGGCAGCCTATCACCACCAGGAAGCGCTTCCATGTCGCGATTGTAACAACAACAGTAGCAGTGGCTATGTCTACGAGGGAAATCCCCCAGTTCCCCAAAACCAAACCCAAAACCCTCACCTTGTGTCTTCCGCCTTTCGCGGCTCCCGCAGCAGCAGCAGCTGCAGCAACAGCACAAATAGCTCCAGTTCCAGCTCCTCAAGTTCGAGTTCTAGTAGCAGTAGCTCCAGTTCGAGTGGCAGCTTCCAGTGCTCCTCCAAGGATTACGCGCTGGAGGGGATGTCGCCCGGGAATCGGCATGCCTGCGTGCTCATCATGTCCCTTAGCTTCCTGGCTCTGCCTTTCCTGCCAGCCAGTAATCTGCTTTTCTACGTGGGATTCGTAGTAGCCGAACGACTTCTGTACCTTCCAAGCGTTGGCTTCTGTCTACTGGTTGGCTATGGGGTCTCCAAGCTGATGGCCTGCAACCAGAGGACTCGTAATACCCTATTATTGAGCTTCAGTGTCCTCTTGGCCGCCATGAGCCTGAGGACTTTGAGAAGGAACGCCGATTGGCGGGACGAGGAGAGTCTGTACCGCAGCGCCATTGCCATCAATCCGCCAAAGGGTAAGTGCTCCTCTGCGATCCCTTCCAACCGAGTCCCCAGCTAAATTGAGTTTGATTTTTAGCGTTGGGCAATCTGGGCAGCGTACTCAGTTCACAGGGTCGGTACGAGGAGGCCAAACAGGTCCTGCAAGAGGCCATTCGCTACAGGCCCAACATGGCGGATGTGCACTTCAATCTGTGAGTAACCAATAAATGAGCACTTAGCGACCGTTTAACCAACTGTTAGGCCTCTGATTTGAGTGTTTTTTTTAAAGCAAACTATTAGCTTTAGATGTCCCTTGACAGGTACATAGAGGTATATAAGTTCTTAGTAAAATTTAAAGGAAACATTCTATTAAAGTAACTTAACGCGTTTAATATTGCTCAGAAAGCAGTTAGGGAAATTTTTTGCAAAAGTGTAAACCGGAACTGGCCTCATTATGCTGCCTACCCACATGTGACAGGCAAAAGCGATGCGATAAATGGCAGCCATTTTCATTATCTTTCCGTGCATTTGCCGCCCCGTCAGCCCACCCACTTGGGCCACTATACCTCCAACCCCTGGAATCCCTTCGGTTGGGTGCGCATTTAGCGCGGCCATTTTATGCAGCGTAGCATCCCAGTTATGAGACTCCGTCCCCGAGATGGCAATACAATGCCGAACAAGCTGTCAAATGAAGCCCATTTCCTTTTTTTCACGCTACCCGAGACACGCACCAATCCTCCAAGTCGCCAAGCGACTGCATCCTTCGTCTCGTTTTCCCATTTGTATCCTGCTCAGGGCATTTGCGTGCCGCTGCAGAAACTATGCGCATTTCGTGATGCATGCACTGGAAGAAAATGTACGTAGTCTAGAATCTCTTTTGAGTTTTTAACTTTATTGCCAACAATTAGCTTTTACAGGAACTTTAAATATCTCCAATCTCCTTAAATCTAAACTAAGTCTCAATCTTAAATCTTTCCCAACTATGTAGCCGACCTTTTTTACTGTGTACCATCCAGGATGCTCGACAAAAGTCCTTAGCTTTCACACTCTCTCCGTCCGCCCGCCGGTCCCTCCGTCCCCTGTCAACGTCTGACAAAGTCTGTAAGCGTGCTCTGTCCTGTTCTGTTCTGTTCCGTTCTGCCGAGATCCTTCTGTTTAGAATAGTGCTGTGCTCGGTCTGTGTTTTGTCTGCTGTCTGTTGTCTGTTCGCATTGCATTTTTGCTCATTGCGCATATTTCACAGTAGCTACGCGATGCGACATAAAACGGGGCAGAAGGAAAAGCCAGCAGCGGAGCAGGAGTGGGAAAGCGGGAATACAAAATACAAAGCTGGAAAAAAGCGAAAGAAAAGTGAGCGCGGAGTTGCGCTTTGAATATTCAGTGCGTCATTTCGGGTTTTCCTTTTTACCGCCTGTCTGTCAACGTCAGGCGGCTTGTCGCAAGCCAGATTATTGCTTGTACTAGCCCCGACTCCCCGCCCCCTTACTTCTTACCCAGGCTAATGCCACAGTCCTCAAGTCAATGGTTCAGAACCAGGTCACAACTGCTAAGTCTGCCATTATGTGTGTGCCGTGTCCTGTGTCCTGCGGAAACCCTTCAACAGGCTGCCTACAAAAGCGAACCAAGCGCTAATCGAAAATCAATGTTGGTTGGATCAGCCGCCGCAGCCTCCCCCCAGTTCTGCCAGCAATCCTGCGGATACACATCCTCGTACATACATTATTTACTGCGATCAAATCATCAATAGCAATGCTCGCGGCAGTGTCGCTTGCTTGACTGATTGCCATCTCCCCAAAATACCGGAGTCCTTACACATTCCCACATGTCCTCGTCGTTCGGCAGGACCAGCAGGAGCGTGAGCTGGAGCAGGAGCAGCCAAACACCGATACCAGCAAATCACTGAGCTGTGTAATTTGATTTTTTACTTTACCCAACGTCAAACATTCGTGATTTTATTGTTGGTCTTGCTGCTGCACTTGTTGTGGCTCGCATTCGAATGGGAAAAGTGAAAAGCACCCTCTTTGCTTTTCTTTTGCCCTGGAAACGGTTGCGGAAAAGTGCAAGGCAGTCGCCACTTTAAGAGCCAGCTGCTTGGCAGTAGCAAACTAATTACATAAATCCGGTTACACCAGGCAAAAAGCTAGTCAAGCTTTGTATGAAACTCTTTTAAAGTCCAAGCTCTTTCAATTTTATTTTTAAAGCAGCAAAGCAGACTTACTTGAATAGTTCAAGAAGTTAAAGATAAAATCTAATATAAATTAAGTAATTGAAAGATTTGCTGAGTGTAAAAGTAGTTGCTCATCTGAGTGGCAGCCCTTCAGCCCCCCCAGCACTCGACTCGTCAGGCTCTAGGGAACCCAAAAGAGGGCAGTCTCTCCGATTTAGGCGCTCTAATTAGATCACGAGAGCTGGACAAGTTCAGTCTATTAATGTCAACACTTTCACTCTCGCTTCAGGGGCATCCTGCACCAGAATCAGCAGGTCTATTCCGCAGCTGTCGAGTGCTTTCAGCGCGCCATCAAGTTCCGACCAAATCTGGCGGGTGAGTTTTCCAGATTTCCCAGCGCAGTGGTGAACCTTACTTATGACATTATCCCTTGTAGTGGCCTACCTCAATCTGGGCATATCATTCATAGCGCTGGGCAAGCGCCAGCAGGCCATCGAAATTCTGCAGGCGGGCGCCAACTTGGATGGGGCTGCTGTTCGAGACCGAGGTGCCCATGATCAGGCCCGCAGCTCGGCCTACTTGCAGTTGGGGGCCCTCTACGTGGAGCAGGGTAAACTCCAACGGGCTCTGGCCGTCTATCGAGAGGCTCTGTCTTCCCTGCCAGGACTGCCGCAACAGCGGGAGGTTCTCTACCAGCGAATCGGGGATGTCCTCGGTCGCCTGCAGCAGTGGGACGAGGCGGAGAGGCACCATCGAGCCGCCCTCGAACTGCAGCCCAACCAGGTGGCCGCCCATCTCTCCTACGGCATTACACTGGCCAGAAATGTAGGTTTCCATTTACCGGTACATTACTATTAGGAGGTATCTCTAATTTGTATATTTTTCACCAAACAGAGCAGTCGCGCCTCGGAGGCGGAGATGTGGTTCAAGCGGGCCTTGCAACTGGCTCCCGAGCAGGCCAGTGTCTATCATCATTATGGTGAGTACTCTCCTATAGCCTTTGCTTACAACAAGAAAAAGCTAAAAAACTAATCTTATTTTTTAGCCGAATTCCTCTCCCTGCAGTCGCGACATCATGAGTCCGCTATCTATCATCGGAGAGCTGCAGAATTGGCGCCCAACGACTACGCTCTGGTGGTGGCTGCTGCAACTGCAATGCGACTACTGGACAGGAAGGTGGAGGCAGAGATGTGGTACAGAAAGGTAAGCCTACTTGATCACAAAAACAGTTTTCAAAGTGACTAATTTCCAAATGAATTCCAGGCTGTGGCCCTGCGACCGGACGATGCCCATGCTCACACCAATCTGGGGGCCATACTGCATCTGCTGGGACGCACGAATCATGCGGCTGCCAGTTATAAGGCGGCGCTGCGACTTCAGCCCGGAGATACCATCACGCTGGGCAATCTGGCCAAGCTGGGCGTTACGAATGTCTAGCAACTGTAGTGGCCACTATAGCCAACCAGCTAATGATTAAGTTAATTAGTCGCAGAGCAGAGATATTTTTATATAGGAAACAGGAGAAGGAACCAGGAAGGGCTAGAGAAAGCGTTAGATAACTCTACAGAATTTATACAAAGGACTTCGATACATATGTATATCATTTAGCAGCTGGCAGCCGTGTAAATATCCAAGCAGCGACCAAGGAATGTCACAAAATAGATAGAGATACCGATTGAGAGCTACAGATACAGATAGAATCAGTGGAGAAGCGACAGAGAGAACAATAATTAAAATATCTAACTGTTAAGGGAACGAGTTACTGTACAGCCATAGAAGCAGGACCGATCCGTGGGAACGATGATTGGGTAACTACTCGTAATGTGCTTAAATATCCGTGTAAATTACTGTAAATATGGGACACCCGCAAGGCACTCTGTGGGTCATATTATTGACTATATATATACGATATGACTTGGCTTCTCGAGATTGTTTTGTCCGTTGTGTGTACATTTTAGTTAAGCGAATAAAGATACCAATAAAGAAATGTATGGATTGTATAAAGATATGGCAAGGAGAATATAATAAAACCCAATGAATTGAAATGGAACGGTTAAAGTGAAGTTTTTACTTGGTCTTTGCATCCCACAGATGAATTCCGAAGGCCTCTTGACCCATCTCATAACCCTTAAGCCAGCTCAGTGGCACATTCCTTGCATAATTGCAACCGCCTTGGCCACTGCACTCAACCTAAGCTGCACTCGAAGGACATTTGAGCGGCCAAGGGAAATATTTTCAGTGCTCAACGGCTTAGATCTTCCGCCAGCTGAGCCCAAGTACAAACACAATCAATGTCACAATTTTCGACCCAAGTCGAAGACGGAGACAGCAAGGGCGCCACTTAAGCCTTGGGCAACCACAACAGGAAGTAAGGCGCTGTGTCTTCTGGGAAGCAAATCGCAGGATTATGAATTACAATATACCCGAGTGCCTCTGCTCGAGCTCCTTGCTGCAGTCATAATATTGCCACAGCTAATGCCACGTCTAAATGGCCGGGTTGGCAAGCAGTCCGGACTCTGAATTCTCCGGGATGCCTGCGAGATGTTGGCAACCGATAAAGGTGATGACTTTTGACATCCGGGCGGAGCAAGTGCACTTCAGAGAGCACCACCAATTGGTTTGGCAAGTCGAGTGGCGGCTTGTTGCCCGCTGGCAGGCGCAGAACGTGCCCAAGAGCGAATAAATGAATGTATCAGACAGCCAGAGTCACTTTGTCCGTCACCCAGTCGGTTGCCCGTCAAACCGTCAACCCGTCAACCCGTCACTCCTGTGGGTACCAGGACGGGAACGAGGAGGAGGCATCCTCCTCCAAAAGAGTGTCATGTTGCCGGAGCCACTTTGTTGCAGAGGGAGACGCCACTAAATGCGCTCGTTCCTGAGAGCTGCTCACTAATTGCAGACGCCTCCGACTGCTCCAGTTCCCTCCTCCAGCCACCAGTCGCCAGTCACCACCTATCATCTGGGCTTCTTGCAAAGTGACTCGTTAGCTTTGTGGGCCAGCCACTGGGTGGCGAGAATGGCGTTCAGTGCGCTAATTACTGACAGCCTCGGCGGCGAGTGCTCGGATTTATGACAAGACATCGTCAGCGTCGATGGCTCCACTGGCCACTCAGGCCAGAGAATGAACCAGATCTCAGCATCGTCGCTTGGGTTACGTCTGAGTGGGCATCGAGGAGAATGCTGCAGCTGTAACCGACAATTAGCTACCCTGGAATATATTGATTAACTATAAAAATAAGAAATTATTAATAAACGAACTTATAAATGCTTTTTCATAAAATCAAAGTGCACTTACATGGGAATTACACATCTCCATCAATGGCAACTTTTTCCCAAATACCCTTCTTCAATATTGCTACAGGGTAATTAAAGGCTTTGCCGGACAATGGCCTGGACCTGATTTACGGGAAGGAGGTCGGTTGGGCATTATGAGTGTGAGCAAAGGAAAAGCAGGAAGAAGACCCCACCTGCCAAGTGCAGCAACAGACGCAGCTAATTCGAGCTAATTATGGCCCGGAGCTGTGTGAACTGAAGACGACAGCCGGCAAAAAAAGTTACACAGTGTTTGATATGTGTAAAGCGGGGAGTCACCCCGCTGGAACAACAAAAGCAAAATCGCTTTGGTATTTTTATGTTTTAATTGTGGCTTACGTTTGATTTGGCCAAAGGGGAAATGCTCCAGCACAACGGCCATGACAGGCGCAAAAAAAAAAGGCAAACCAACATACGGGTGGGCCAGAGCCAGAGCCAGGGCCAGGCCACTTTTATTTACAAGTGGGTGATGGCAGATCTGAAATCATTTGTTATTTGCACATTTGCCAAAAGTAGGAAAAACTTTGCCGGCCGTTCTTGCTTCTAAATCGTTTTTGATGAGGGTCACCATGGGGATAGGGTAGGTCAGCTCGGTGGCTCAGGGGTGGAAGGTCGGAGGGAGACCAGGAAATGCTCCCGCCTGACCACTTCGGTCAACTCCTAAAGTTTTTCTCTTGTGGGGAACGGACAATGCTGGTGCAGCCCAAGACTGGGTAGTTGCTCATACAGCATGTGTGTTCCGAGTTCTTGAGTTTTTACTAATAGATCCACAAAACTAAGTTCGATATCTTGACTTTATATAAAGAAGAAAAGAGGTCTAACTATACAATTTGTTCAATTTGTCAACACAGACCATGGCCTACTATAAGAAATACTTGGCATGGTCTGCAGGATACCCAAGATCCTTTCTATGGAGATTTAAGTAGTTTCCATTATCTGAGATAGCTTTGAAATGCGAGAGAATTGCAATTTTTGATGCAGCCTGTGCAAAAGGAAATGGGCTAATTAGCGAGAGTACGAAACACTTCTGTAAGCCTCGAAACTGCGTCCCGCACCGCGAAAAGTTGCACTTGACATGCTGCAAAAACGTGACAACGTCAACACTCTGGCGCTCGCATAATAATCATATTGCAATATAATGGCGTGAAACAGCAACATCTGAGATACACGGCAAAGCGACAAAAAGGACGACACTCGCAGGACTGAAAAATGTCTGCGACAGTTGACAGTTGAAGCTGGCGATGTCAGTTTCGTACTCTTTTGCCGCTTTTTGTAATTGCGCAAAAATAAACTCCCCTGCTTCTGAGCCAAAAATTTCGGAATCTGTTGCATAATTCCGGGGTGCTTTTCGCTTTTTCCCTTTTTCCCATTTTCCCTTCTCCCCACTTTTTTTTCTTTTTCACTTTTTTGCTGTGTGGCCTGCGCGCGCGTGTTCAAGTGTTGACATCGCCAGCAGAACAGCAGAGGAGCTACGACAATTGCAATTGCAACAGCAATTTATGGCCAAGAAGCAGGACAAGATGAGGGCCTGGTCGTCTGTCACTGGATGGCTGTCTGTGTGTGTGTGGCTGCACTAGTGCAACTTTAGTAAAATGCAATTCCTGCTGCAGAATTATAATATGCAAATTTCATGTGTGGGCCTTGTAATTCCCACAATTACCAAGCGCAGCAATTGCTACTAGGCAACTGTCCTGTCTTAATTAAAGAACCGAGAACTTGTTGTGGAAATTATTTTTCCATGCCTGCCAGCTGTATGGGCAAGCAATTAAAAATCAAAATGCCAAATTACACTTGTACATTCACCAAATTACACAGCACAAACACACGCGTCCTGGCATGTGGAGAGCACAAGGAGCAAAATATAGAGACATCAGTAAACTAAGCTGACAGTAAAAAGTCCGTCCAAGCGTGTAATTAGAAATTATATCCAATTGCCCTGCGGCCACTCGAGCATCGGGCGAACGAATGGACGGCCAGGCAAGCAAGGCCATCCCACCGCCACCCATCCACACCCGTCTGCCCACTCCGCCCACAGCAGCCAAATCCTCCCGACTGCGCTCACGATTTTTGGTTTTTGCAGACAGCCACAATGCCTGTGCGCCTGTGGATGCCTCTGGATTGGCCTAAGAGATGGCACCGTGAGTGGGAACTCACTAAAGTGGTACCTAGTTTCTACATATGGGTAATGGGATATAAAACTTGATTGGTTATAGTTTAGAATGATGGCTTAAAATATAAATGTAATATCTTTGATCAAGTTTTAAGCAAACAAAAATGTATATACGGATGTGGACTGTGGCTTTATTCATTTTTAATCTTAGCTCTAATTTTAACCTTAATATCACAAAACCATTCCTTTCTGTCCACTTCTCTTCCGCTTCGTTTTGGCCAGAAGCGTTAATATTGGCAATATCCCGAGAGAAAAGATATGGAAACCAGATCCCGTCACGCCCTCATCTCGTGTCCATGTGTGCGTGACTTTGCCAGTATCAGCGCAGCTGTTGCACAGTGGAACCATTAAGCATTAACGTTAGATGATATCTCCTACTACTTTAAGGATTATCTTTCAAAACTATTCGGTTTGCTCTAACATTACATAGATCCATTTCCATAATATTTAACAAAGATCTTGTTATGCTTCCCAATATGTCAGAACTTAAGTGAACTGTTGGGCGTGGTTTGCTTTTCTTCCCATCAGAGCTAAGTACTTACTTTTACCAATAATAGAGATCCTTCGGCCCACAGTGCGCGTGTGTGTCTGACAGTGCAGAATGTTTAACTGCAGCGGCAGCAGCCTTTCCGGTTGCCGCCTACGTTCAGCTTTCCCTTTCACCACCCCCTTCGCAAACCCCTCGTGCGTCTGTGTGTGGCAGCCTGTGTTTCTGCCGCCAACCCTTTGGCAGCTGCCAAATTGTCTCTTGTGGTTGTCACACACTGCGTATTAGTAATGCGCCATACGCAGCGTCGCTGCAGACCGAAAACCCGGTCCTTGCCTTTCATCCCATCGACTCACTGCTCCGGGTGTTTGTGTCAAGTGTCAATGTCTGTGCTTTCAATTACGGAATGCCAGACAAGTTGAAAATTAAATTCACAACGCATCCTCTGCGAGGCGTTTATTAAAGTTGCCGCATTGAAAAACTTTTCTAAACGCTTTCCAATGAAGCGTGGGCCAGGTGAACTTTCGCCGGGGACCCTCCCACTCATAACAAGCGCCTAGAATTGGCCAAAACTCCAGGGCTTACCTTGGCAAAAACTTTGACTCGTCTCTGGAAACTAGCTAAATGGCAAGAGCAGCTTAAGCACAGAGGAAGAGGCACAAGGCACCCACAGTTCATAAGCCACTTTACAAACAAGCTGAAATGCTTAAAGAGAACTGACTGTCACCCAAATAGCTCAAAAGGACACAAGAACAAAGGAAGTGGGGTTAGGAAAGTCTTATTGTTGATATGAGAAAAGGAAATCAAAGATTCTGAAGAGGATTGAAAGTGTCAAGGAGTAGCGAAAGATCACCCCTAGAGACGGTATAATTTCTTTGGATTTTGTAATAAATTATCCTTAAACGATAACTAAATATGTATATGAAATTTATACCCTTTAAATAAATGATTAATATAGGTATATTAATCACTTCCATCGTATTGATAAAGACCTGAAACCTCCCTTTGTCAGCTGACCAGACATCTTCCCTCCCATCGCCGCATTCCCTAGTTCAAAATCCGCTTAAAATTGTCAAATGTA